CTGAACCCTGAACCCTGAACCCAACCACCGAAGCTCCGAGCCTTGAAACCTGTACACGGCAAAGAGAGCCGCTGCTTGGTGTCCCCAAAGTACCCCAACTCTGTTGATAGACCCCCGACCCGACTCCCTATTTCCTAAATCCTAAGCCCCAGACCCTAGACCCAAAACCCTAAGCCTAAGCCCGAAACCCTAAACTCTAAGACCCCAGTCCCTAAACTGCTTCACGCCGTACACGCAACCTTCCGCCATGAGATTGGTCATGTTCGGTTTAGGGTTTAGGTTTCAGGGATTAAGGTTTAGGGTTCAGGGTTTAGGCAATGGCTTGGGTTTTGTTGCAAGAGCAAGAGCAGGGTACAACGACGGTCCCGTCAGCACAAACATGTCAAAGTGGTCTTTTAGTGGCTAGAGTGCTTGAGCAAATCATCCATGCGGAGTTTGATGTTTTTCTTGACGAATTAAACATGCAACTTTCAGATCTAGCCGCGATCAAGCCTTCTGTTCACCACAGAACGGCTTTGCGAACTTCTTAGTGAAGCCTTGTAACCCTGAAGTGCTGGCAAGCCTGCAAGTTTCAAGAGCTGACCAGTGGTCTCGCTTTGGCTTCTAAGCTTCAGATGGCAGAAACATGCCGCCAACGCCTGCCGTTAGACTGGTCAGGGTTCAGAGTCTAAGGTTAAGGCAAGAACTTTATCAGTCTGGGTTTTAGAGGGCAACACGCTAGGTCAAGAACTGTAAGGGAAGAGCCAGTTCAGCGCTGTTTCGTTGCATGCGCCAACCATGGCAGCCCTGGCCTCAGTCTTTTCTTCAAGAAGGAAAGCGAACGGCCACAGTTGTCATGTTCGAGACTTTTTTTAATCAAAGCGCCAGGTCCAAGTCCATGTGCAGCCTCAGTACACGCTGCGACAGGTGCAGGCACGCGACAAAGCTGAGTTCCTTGAAAGCTTTCGACCTTGATGTGAACTGCCCTGCAACAGGGGCCGCCGATGCAGCAAGTGGCTTCAGGCAGGATCCACTAATGTCAGAGGAAAATGAGCAGTACAGACCAAGCAATCCGGCTAGTATAAGTATTCCTTCTACTTCGGTGGATGATTTAAATCCTGCATTACCCATAATGTGGAATATACCATAATTCGCACAGTTTTGGGTCCTTGAAGGTAATGCAGGATTTTTTATATCATCAACAGTTGTACCATCTGGTAATGAGAAAGCTTATGGATATGGCGATGACGATGCAGCTGGGGATGGTGATGGTGGCGGTGATGAATATGATTTTTGCGGTGCCTGTCAGGACTGCCGCTTCAACCCTGCTCCTCCACTGATTGTCCTTGGCTCTATCAGACTCGTTGCAAGAAAGAAATTTTCGATTTCTGGCAGTCGATGGAATCAGCCAAGTGTGCTGCGAGAAATGCTTGCTGGCTAGGCCCAACCCTTCTGCCTGCAACCCCGAGCCATTTCATGTCCCGTTCCCTCAAGATGTCAGGGCCGGCTGTGCCAGTTCCGAGAGTGAACTTGGACCATCTACGCATGGCACATGCCAACGCTGCGGCCCCAGGGTGTGGGATTCTGCGGTTGATAGGCCGTCGGGTTGAGGCCTGCTTTAGGGTTTATGGTTCAGTGTTTAGGGTGGGCGCCATGTTGCGGGCGAAGATTTCTACTATGCCCCGATGTTTTTGCGTGTTTTACATTCAGCTGAGCCCCATCACGGGTCTTGTCTCTTCACCCCATGGCAACTACCTAGACGCGAGACCTGAGGCATAGCCTTATCGCATCATTCGCCTTAGAAACATCGGACGGGCATGATGAATGTTGACAGTCGTGCCCCTTCTGCTCATGCCGTTGCATTTGATCTTTTCGTTGTTGTCACCAGCCCCGGCCCTGCTCAGAGTGTTGATACTAGTGTTTGTTGGGCATCACAGCTTTTTGTAGTAGCAGTATTTGCATTGTGAGTCGTCCGAGCATGGGGTACCAAAACACATGCTGTTGCTAGTATTGCGACGAGTATCTCCGTTTTAAATACTCGTCTTAGCATCAGGATTCCTATGTGCCAACGATTTTCATTATACCTTTGAGAAGTTTGTGGTTTCCTCTCAATAGCTCAGGAGCCAACCATTGACGGACAGCGCATTGCGGCCGGCGTGCTAGCAACACCCGGCCGGACGGTTGCCCACAGCTGAGTTTTGATTCACCCTGAAACGCTGCTAGTCACAAGCAAGTTGAGTCGACAGGTCTTGGTTCGAGCCTGGAAAAAAGGCTTTTGTAATAAGGATCTCAGTTGTTTCTGTTTTCGCTGAAATTCCCGTTTCGCAATCGCAAGTAAGCTGCAACATTCGACCTTTGGAAGCATGGGTCCACAAGCTACATGCATCGACTCTAGACGCCAGCCTCCGACGGCCATCACAACCTGCTTGAAGTCCAAAACTACACCCAAAAAACCCTCTGAATTTTCGAGGGGCCACTGCTCTTCTAAGGGGTGTTTGTGCGAGCTGCTCGTCAGCGCAGGAAGCTTCTGACAAAAAATGCCTTACGGTGGACCCTAGAATCTCCACATCCGCTTTTACCCCTGTTACAAAGTTCGGAATTTGTCGTAACAATCTACACTAGACTGTGCCCCAAGACCGTATTCTCATTCTGAAGGCCTCAACATAAACACCTTGATCTCCTACACTTACCCAGAGACTCCAATACCCCTTACTTAAGGAATCTTCCTTAAATTTTGTTAGGATCGTTAGTATGATTTAAGGTATATTCCTTAATCAATGGATATTGGAGTCTCTGGGTATTCTCAGGTCACTGCCGGTTATCCGGTGCCGACCGAGGCTGCTGCACACGGAGTGCTCAGACCTCAGCAGTTTGAGCTTGGCTTTAGGGGAGTTGGGGCTCAGGGTTGAGGTGTTCAGGGTGCAGGGAGTAAGGGGTTGGGGCATAAGACTTCCGGCTTTGATTCAGCTGTTGGGGCTGAAAACTTAAATCTGGACCCCATAACCCGAGTCCCTATTCCCACTTAGGGTTACATGCTTCTTTCTTGTGAGGGCAAGTACACAGCTCTCTCCAACACAGAAGATTCTGCTTTGTTTCTTACCATTCGGTTCGGCTGCTGTGCAACACCACCGAACCCGCCATGTTCCATATCAAAACTGAAAGAATCTACTTGGCCGCTCTTTTGATTTAGTATGTGGAGTCAGTAAGATGCATTTCTATCTCGTGGTGTTACAAACAGACTCTAAGTAAGCATGATCCCTTGATGACCAGGTTGCGGGAGCATTCGGACTCGGAGCATGAGCGTTAAGGTTGAGGGTTTGGGTTAGCGTGCAGGGTTTCGTGCTTTTGAGACGATTCCACACCACCTCTAAATTTGCGAGCCGACCACATCTAGGACAGTTTAGGAAAACTCTCGTCAACACTCGGACTGGCAGGAAACAGGCCCATTTCATGGGGTATGCGGTTGTGAAATTTTGAAAAGATGCCTCAGGCTCAAGCGCTGCTTCTTCAGCTCCAACATTGAAGTTTCACCTCGAGTGTGCGCATTCAGTTGTTCTTTGCAGATGAAGTTTCAGCATATCCTCGGACCACTCCACCCCAAACGGATGGGCCCCAAACCCATGAAGCATTACACCTCGCCTTGCATTGCCAAAAGGCCGGATACCCCGGGGAGAAGTGGCAGCAGCGGCACCATCGGTGCTTTCCAGGCACCATTGGTGCATGCCTCCGTGTGTCGGGTTGAGCCTTCAAGCCTTTGCTCGTTTACTCAGTCCTCATTTACGGTTTTGCGGATTTCGACCTCCCACAGAAAGTACAGCGGTTCTGCCAGCGACATACAACGGCAAGAAGAGCAACAACAAGTGCGACCGTCGCAACAACAGTGGTGCAGCAGCTCTGTGTCATCAGCACCCAAAGAAGAGTCTGCAGCCAGCTGAAGGAAACAATGAGGGAGTACTTGGACGCGGAAGAAGTTATGGTGGCGGCACCGGCAGCGGCGGCAGCGGCAGCGGCAGGGGCAGGGGCAGGGGCAGGGGCAGGGGCAGGGGCACAAAAAAATAAAAAGCAGGGGCAGGGGCAGGGGCAGGGGCAGGGGCAGGGCAGGGGCAGGGGAGGGGCAGGGGCAGGGGCAGGGGCAGGGGCAGGGGCAGGGGCAGGGGCAGGGGCAGGGGCAGGGGCAGGGCAGTGGCAGTGGCAGTTGCAGCGGCAGCCGCAGCAGTTGCAGCGGCGGCAGCACCAGCAACACCAGCAGCAGAAACAGAAGCAGTAGAAGTGGCCGTAGCGGTGGCCGTGGCGGTGGCAGCAGGAGGAGCAGTGACAGTGATGAGATTAGGTTCGGAACGCAAGAGTTAGCAGATTTTGCATTTTTGCAGCTCAGAGGGGGGGGATCAGGTTTTAAGGTGGAATCAATTTCGATGTTCCGCGTTGGAGGCAACCGTCCAAGGACGAAAAGCACTGCAGACCAGCGAGAAGCTCAGTCAACAGGCTGAACAAGACAGCTTGTGTGATGGTGTGACTGGTACATCTGATACACCCTAAACCCAAAACCCTAAACCCTAAACCCTAACCCCTGAACCCTAAACCCCTAAACCGTACACCCCTAAACCCCTAAACCCTGAACCCTAAACCATAAACCCTAAACCCACCCTTGACCCCAACCACGCGCTTGGCGCCGGGGCAAAGCCTGCTGAGATGGTGTCTCTGGCGGAACTCTGCCAGCAGGTGCTCAGGACTGGAAGGGTTTCGTGCTAGTTTCTATTATGGCAGGTTGG